CAACCTACCATCATAACCACCATCCCCCATTTTTTTCTGATTTTTCTGCTATTTTATTGCTATTTTTCCTTTAGATAAGCACACATTTCCATATTTGGCAATGTGCCCTGGACCCTGAAAACAACCACATTTGGAAGTGCGCTTTTGGACCCTGAAAACAGTGAGCAAGCCGTGGGAATCAGTGAGCACCAAGGCTGGCTCTAGGGAGCTCAGCAAGGCTACCTTCCTGATTAGGAAGGTTGGTCAATTGACTGCTGTGATGCATAGGTAGACTTAGTCAATAGACTATATCTGATACATAATTCTGGATGTACTGGCTGTCAGCTGGGCGTTGCGTTGTGGGCGTTAGGTGTTGGCATGGGCGTCGTTTCGTGGGCGCTGGCAGTGTACGTGGGCGCTGGGTGCTGTTTCGTGTCTGCGGGGTGTTGTTTCGCGTCCGTTGGAGGTGTACGTGGGCGCTGGGCTTCGTTTCGTGGGCGGCGTGTTGTTTTCGTATACGCTGGGGTGTTTTCGTGGGCGGTGGGGAGTTTTCGTGGATGTGGTGTGCCCTTGTGCACTGTCATGGGTGCTGGGCAGCCATTGTGGGTGCTGGGTGGGGTGTTTTCATGAGCGAGGTGGTGCTGTCGTGTTTCGTGTGGGCGCTGAACGTTGTTTCGGGAGTGCTGGGGTGGTGCCGTCGTGGGGTATGAGACCTGTTGCCGTCGTTTTGGTGCCACGTCGCAGTCAGTGACATGGCACCTGGTTTTCATGTTGAGAAACGAGGGGAGAGGGGGTTGTGGGTGCTTACCTGGTTCATGTGCCATGGTGACGTGGCACAGCATTGTGGTGTTGGCAACGATGTTGGATGTCGGGTGAGCGGCGTGGTGGTCGATGTGAGCCCCCTCACATCACTTAACCCATGGCAGGCACTCACAACGTGAGGGGGGTGGTTACGTGGAGCAACAATGGTGGTGGTGGGAGGAGAGAGGGTTGTGTTTGGATGAGCATGAAAGCCGTTGCCAAACAAAGAATTGTTTGGCAATGGGCTTGCGCCCAACAAACTGGATTCCGGTGGCATTCCGTTTTTGCCAATCCGGGGACCATTCCGGAATGCTGAAATTCCACCGGAATGGTAAAGCACCGGAATGATGAAAATAGCAGGCCTCCCTGCTAAATTTCACTCCTCTGGAATCCACCGGAATCCGCAGGAATGACCGGAATCCTGCAGGAATTAGGGGGGCACTGATAAGACCTCCGAAACTCACCAGGAGGCACTCAGATCCCTGCCTGACAGCATAGCGACAACGAGCCATTATCGGTATGTTTTGGCCACCTTGAGGAGGGAGAAAGACTGGTTGTGTGAACAAATCGATTCAGACCGTCATCTGGTTGCAGCAATGGATGCTACTTTAGAAGGACTATGGCCATTCATCCCAGACAAGATCCCAGACAAGGGGAAGGGGAGGGACAAAAGGGATGGACGAGGGTTTAAGTAGAAGATTAGATCACAATACCGAGGTTGGTTCGCTATGTAGTTTGCACCCGGGCACGGTTGAAGATACCCACTGCCGGATAGTGCTCACATTTAATTGGTCGTAAGACAAGCCTCCCGGATCAATTAGTCAAACAAACACCTTTTCAACCCTTGCCTTTCATGATAGGAAAACATGATGAACTACAAAAAGTGACACTGCTGAAACCAAACACAGACTAACATCATTGAACATGCTATGTATTTCGCACCCGGGCATGAATGACTAACATCATTAAACATGATAGGTTTAACTGGCGAATGAAACTTTCTTGGACCGGGTGGAACGAACACTTTCTTCAGCAATCTTTTTTGACCGTTCTTGGGTTACTATACCGAGTTCCCCTGTAGAAACCTTGGCTTTCATGATAGGACGAGGTTTTGGCTTTGGCTTGGTGGGGACATCAACAGATGATTGCTGACTGGGACTGGCCTCTGACTCCTTTTGTTTTGAAGGGACTGGTTGTTTTGCGTTGACGACACTTGACTTTGTGAAATCAAAGCTATTTGAAGCTTTGGTTGTGTCCAACCTCGGATTGGTTGCTTGAGCTGGTTTGACAGTGGCTTGGATAACAGCTGAGGCAGCTCGGCATTTGACTTTGCCTGGTTGGGCACTCCTCGGGCCAAGTTTATAACCCTTCTCTAACCGAGGAAACTTGCAGGGTGTATCCTCCTCATCAGTGAATTTTCTCTTCTTTGCTCGATCGGCCGATTCCACCCCACAGCCCAGGTCGGCTTCCCAAAATGTATCATCAGCCAAGACCTCACTGTCTGATGGTACTTCATGGGAGAGAGCCCAGGTGTTGTTGTACCGAGGCTGAAGCTTGGGGCTGGTATCTACCATGATTGTAGCATCGTCTGAGCCCAAATCTGATGCCGAGTCTCTATCCTCTTCCAAGGTCGGGTTGACCCTGCTAGGTTTCACTGTGGGCTCAGTCAGAGTATCCTGCTTCGGCCTCTCTTGACCATTATTGGAGTCTGAGTCACTATCATCAGAGCCATCCTCACGATGTTTGTCATGCTGTTTGGTTGGTTTCTTGGTTGGTTTCTCC